CGATCTTAATTCGAATTATCCTCGGCTGCCCATGTAAACCGGGTACCTGTTCCCGACACTTCCAGAAGAGAGTCGCTGTCCGAGATAGGGATAGGCGCTAGAACGTTGTGACTTGCTCATTCACGACAAACATGATCCGACAGGCCCTCTGACTCAGCTCTCGGCCTGCCGTCGGTCGATGGAGAGGGGAGGGGTGGGCCTCTCCCCTCAATTACCCGGTTTACATGGGCAGCCGAGGATAATTCGAATTAAGATCGGAACGGATCATGCGACGTTAACCCTCTCGGCGAGGGGCGTTTACATGGGCGAAACCGGCTTTACGTCGGATTAACGGTCGATAGTTCGATCCCGCTTAGTTCGAATCAAGGAACGCATTATGGGCGAAAACTGCGCTTTTGAGGCGAACTGAACAAAACAAGAAGAAAAAAGCCGGTACTCTGCGTATGGATGGCGAATGTCATGAGCCATGGTGGGCGCGAGACAGCTTTGAGGGCGAGGAGGAAGATGGGCTCCGTTGGAAAAATGATATGTGCGGGACTCATAGGCTTTATAGCTACAGCACAAGCCATAACACTTGAAACACAAGAGTTGCGCAGTCAGCACTGCCAAATGTCACATAAGCAGTGTTATATGCAATTTTTTACTAGCGGGAAACTTTGGCTAGCAGGAAATCAGTATTTTCTTGTATTGGCCAATGACACTCACAAACTTACCACACTGATATCAGTATGCCACCCAGCATCATGTCATCTACTTTGCGCAGCCCAAGAAACACATTACCTACTCCCACACTAATGCATTTATGAGCAGCCTGCAACAGTGAGCTAAGCTACAGAAATGACTCATGAATGCTACATAGTTAGTGGCAAAAATTGTGTAACTATGTTGTCTTTCCCCATCCAATGCATCATCAGTACCTGAGGGCAGCATTGCCATTTAGACTTGGCATGGACTGGCAAGTCAGAATGCAGCTATTTGCTTTCTTGACATAATAGGGTTGAAAAACTGCTTTGATATCCTTGCAGTCAACAGCATTGGCTGATATGGACTGATGGCTAGGTGGCACAAACAGCTGTGTTCGCACAGTCCAAAGATCATAACATGTGAACCAGCCCCAGAGCTGTCATGACAAAAGCAATCTGGGCTCAAAATTCATAACAAATGATTAATTACAACAACAGCTCAATTATCCAGCTCATGGTTTGCAAAGATACATGTCACAAAAAAGCACCAAGGTAACATATTTACTCACCAGTACAAAAACAGGGAATGATGTGCACCACAGATGTTCTCTGCTTATCATGTGGCATTACGTTGGGTTTACTTAGTTTATGCACTGTTTTCTCCCACATGAAATGCACAAACCTGGATTTGACAGAGTACTGATGACAGCTATTTTCATCCAGTGCTCACATTTGCTTTCTTGACATTTTGGAACCATCACTGGGCAATTTTGGTCCCATCATTAAAAATAGTTCACATTCTGCACTGACTGCAATGATCTATTGCCTATATTTGTTGATCCTTTGCATCATGCAGGAATTATTGAGTTACCTATCTCACACAGATTAAACCAACAAGCAACAAACAGCCTAATTGCATCAAAAACAAATATTCCAGCCCCCGCTTCCTTGCCAGTTGGTCTACCAGTGTGACGTAACTTCATATTCCCTTGACGAGCCAGTCACCAATATCCAGCACATCCCTCCTGCCAATAGGTGGTCAACCAAATGTTCAAGTCACAGGAGGAATGTCTGCAAAATCAATCCTGGGGCATTTATGCATTCACCTAATGAAAGAAACTATTGGTACTCCCTGCAAGAATTGTTGAACAGTTGAATTACCTACCTAGTGGCCTGCAAAGACACCCATCACAAAAAAGCACCAAGGTGACATATTTAATCACCAGCACAAAAACAGGTGATGATATGCAACACAGACATGTTCTCCATGCAGCATGTGCCATCGTGTTAGGTGTTAGTTTATGCACTGTTTTCCTGCACATGGAACACACAAACTTGGATTTAGCAGAGTAATGATGACAACTATTTTCATCCAGTGTTCACATTTGCTTTCTTGCTGTTTTGACCCCATCATTGGGCAATTTCGGTCCTACCATTAAAAAAGTTCACATTCCGAGCTGACTGCAATGATCTATACTTGTTCATCCGTCATATCATGCAGCAATTTTTAAGCTACCTTTCTCACACAAATTAAACTGACAAGCAACCAGCATCCTAATTTAAGGAACATCTGCAAAAACACCCCTGGGGACTTAAGGTATTAACTTAATGAACGAAACTTGGAGGCATTCTCTGCAAGAATTTTGAGCAATCCAAAAATTAAAATGAGAACAAGTCAAAGCTATATAAAATAACCATATTACCTCCATCTGGCTTTTGGACGCATGGAGCCTGCCCCAGATGTAAGCTAATCTAACCTTTAGGCGGAAAGATAGCACCAAACACCGTCGACGCCTGCTGTCTGCATAGATCAAGCGCCTAGCAAGGCTAAATTACGTGAGCATTTCTGTGCTGCTAGCCACTCAAGGCCCTCAATAATAAGAGTAGTTTTAGCAGCATGATGTCAACTTCACCTTCCTTCTCTTTTCCCTTACCATCTTGGACTTGAACCGTCTCGAGCAATAGCTAAAAACCCGTGGAAAAGCGGTAACACCGCACAAAGCTGAAATGGCTATGAACAGAACTGCGTGCGCCAGGCATTTTTCTTTTTTTTTGTTTAGACAGCTGACGGCCGATAATTCGGACGAAATCCCTTCCTGAACGGATGATCCTCTCACGGGAAGGGATTTCCTCCGGCGCACGATTCGAATCAGCGGAACGGCGCGTGAGTGTATACATGGGCCGGATAGTTCGGATCGAGGACGGGTCCCGGCTTAATTCGAATCACAGCTGCCCATGTAAACAGGGTAAGGGACGCAGCCTTCTCCCTAACATTACCCCGCAGCCGGCCCGCCCGGCCAGCTATAGTGAACCAGCCCGCAAAATCCCGCTGTGCGTTAACGCTGGCTCACCACCTACCGGCAAGTTCTAAATTATTGCGACATACATTTTTTCATTTTCCTTAAATTCAGGCCCGTTTTTTATAAAGTGAGCCTTACATGGCAATTCAGTTTCATTGTTTCACCTAATACGCAGTATTGTTTGCCTAACCCCAATCATATTGCTCAGCGGGCAGCGATCAAGGTACTCGGACAATGGAATCTCTATTGCATTTAATTATATCTTAAACGACAGGATGACAGTTTTCAACTGCAGATTAGAAGCAAAGGGTTAAAATTTAAATTTGTGTATCACCAGAATAAATCAAAGATTTCACCCTCCTGCAGCATCTCAATAGTCCACAGGCCACGTCTTTTAAAATTGCATGGGTCCGTCAACTGATGACTTTGCACCAACAGGCTGGGTGTTTCACGTCTTGGAAAGTCAGCCTGGTTAATTACATTGAATATCAGCACCAAGGCCGCTATTTTTTGGGAGGAATGCCTGCACCCGAATTTAAAAGCCCGCACCCACCCTACAAGGCAGATGTTTCCCCTATAAGCCCACATGGGTCCGCCAACGTTATTTTTCATTCCAGGTACACGCACCCAACCTTGTAATATTATCAGTGCCAAAACAAGAAGCTTTAAGAAACCGTAAGGCATATTTCTCCCTTGTTTTCTGCGCCTCGTAGCTGAAACTCTCACACAGGATAACCCACATATTTCTGCTCCCTTACCACATAAGACACACCGTGGGCAAGTTAAAAAATCGCCATACCCTCATACCACTTCTTCAATTAATAAAGCTAATTGATGGTTGAAAACCTCTGCCTACACTTCATAAGGCGCCCTTATCGTTGATACCGGAATAAGATGTGGTCACTGGCGGATACAGGGGAGGATCGGGGGGGGGGGGGGGGCCACGGGGCCATGCCGCCCTCCCGTTAGGGCCCTGAAGAGGTTCATAATACGCTCTAAAACGGTCAGAACACTCGAGAAACTAGTATATGTGTTGCCGAAAGTCCCACATGCGCTTATAACCGTTAGGGCTTTCGCCTGCTCGTTTCTACTGGTTAAATCCGGTCTGGTTAAATTAGTTTAGGCACACGTGTCCGAGATCCACACGATGGTTTTGAGGATTGCTGCTGTAGCCTTAGGGCAGCAGCCAGATGTTTGCGGATGAATTCTTACGTTCAAATTCCGAATATAATCAGACGCGCCTCCGGCATCGCATTTGTCAATTCGTTTGGTCATTAAATTCGTGGCATTTGTTGTACTTGGGGATCACGTTCATTGCACATTGTGAGTGCTGAGATGTTTGCACGCCTTCATAAAAGTAAAACCAAAAACTCTGCGTTGGTCATCAGTTATCAGCTGATCACAACGACTAGCCAGGTAGCCGTAAATTTCCGTGAAATGAAGTGCCGTGCTTGAATGTGATGACATTAACAGCCAACTGTAGATCATTTTGCCATATATTCTCTGAAACACTTCTCTGAAATGCTTGCCACATATTTTCTGAGATGCTTAGCCTCAAAATGACACGATTTGAACGAGAGCGAAGAAGAGGAGAGTCACTCTTGCTGGATGTTGAGCTTGAGGTGTAAGCAACGAGCCTTGATAAGCACTGGGCTCTGAGCCGAAAGCCACTCGTGCAATCAACTCGATATACGCTTCTGGAATCTACATGGCTGACATTTATTTTTATCCCCGTTGTTGACACTGTTGTGCAGGCGCAACGATGATAGAATGCGGCTGAAATTATTGAAAATTTACCCATCTTAATCGATAGCATAGCATATCAGAAATTGATCTGGATCGGACTTGGCTCGATCAGAGGTCTCCGTTAGTTAGTTAGAGTTTCAAGGACGCGTCAACCGCATCGGTTATTTGCGCCCATCATAGGTCTCCGTCTGTAAACGGCGGATATTAGCGAGAGGCTGAATGGAGAGCGTTTATGCCAAGCTGCTAACTTTCCGCCGGCTCTTCTTCTCAGGTTTATCGTGAAGGAGAGCAACTACACGGAGATCGTGATGAGCGGCGCTTTCGAGACGCTGTCCCAGACGCTGATGGTGGAGATCGTGCGCCGGCGCCAGGTGCCCGTGGTCCGGCCCCTGGCCGATCCTCAGTTCGACACCTCCGGCAAATGTGGGTCACGACGTGCTCCCCCCCCCCCCCCCTCGGCTGGTGCAGCGGGGGTCACCGGAAACCGCCGTCCCCAATAGCTGCATCATAAGCGGACAGCGGGCGGGGGAGCGTGTTGGGGAGAGGGAGGGGTGAAATGGCTTGCTGTTCGCCCCACCCAGCTCGGCCCCCGTACGTCAGGGCAGACCACGGCGCTGCGCACGAGGGCGGCCGCCGCTGCGGGCCCCGCTCCTGCAACACGACGCCCGGTGTTGTGTCGCTCGTCTGCCAGATACTGTCTGACATGTGAGCGACCCGTCTGGCCCAGCTCGGCTGGCGCTGCCCGGGGTCGGGGTCGGGGTCTTCTGACCGCGTGCGTCGGGGCCCACGTGAGACGCCTGTTCCTGGTGGGCGCACGACCGCGGCCGCTGCTTGGATCGCGGGGCGGAACGCATTACCGTCATAAGGCATCAAAATACCTGATACAATCGCTCCGTCACAATCCAGGTCTCATGGGGCCCAGCAGCACTTCTTTGTGCCACTGGGTCTTCATGCGCACTCGACCGCGGAAGCTGTGTGTTGTCGCCTGCCTGTCATCCTACGGGAAGGGGGGAATTCGCGGGGAGTCGAGCCTCGTGTCTCTGGTTTTCCAGGCGTGCGGCTTAACCACTACACTACGTGAACCCCGCCGTTTGGGATGACACTGACGCATGCTAGAGTCGGCCAATGCTCCGACGCAGCCTGCACGCTTGAGTGTCGACCATGCTGTGGTATGGCCGGCAGGCGCCACCCTGCTGCAGGACATGGAGACGTTCCTGCGTACGTCTGGCGCTGAGTTCTGCGACCTCACGCTGCAGTTGGACGGCCAGGCCATCTCGGCGCACAAGCCCATCCTGGCGGCGCGCTGCTCCTACTTCGAGGCCATGTTTCGCTCGTTCATGCCCGAGGACGGCAGCGTCCAGGTAAGAACGCGTCACCCTCTCGCACGCCGGAGGAGCGTGGTGATAAGGGAAGGTGTTGGTGGTCTCTCTCACAGCAGAGAACGACGGTGCTCAGATGAGGTCGTTTTTACTCTCCACCGCGTTAGAGAGCAGCAGGGTTGAGGTGGTCGCCTCTCGTTTAGTCTGCGTATGGAGGAACGCTAAACATGAACGAATCGATCATCACATCTTGTTTGGCCTTCATGGCCGCATGGGTTATGGCAGGGCGGAATTTGACTGACGTTATTACGGCATCATGAATGCCAAGTTTACCTTGAAATAGTCTCCCTGAAATAGCCTACACATTTTCGCGGGCGTGTAGTTCAGAAACTAAAGAGTTACAGGTATTGAGAAGGGCGGGGCTCTGAACTGCACCGAATAATCTTAAAATAGGTATTGCGGTGCACACTCGATAACAATGTGAAACACTCCCTTTAAAGGGAGTGCTCCACTTTTGTGGAATGGTCAAGTAAGTGTTGAAGTTCGTTTCCCTATCGCCCCACCTTATCCGGCATGGCTGCCACCGGTGGGTAGACTATATATCATGTCGTTTGGACTTAACGATGCTCTCAGCTCCTTAGACTGTATGACGTCGCCTTCATCTCACGCTGGGCGGGCATTGCGGGGAATCAAACCCCGAGCCTCTGGTTTCCCAGACACGCAGCTGCTGGAATTGTTCCACTTTTGTATGGGGGTTTTGAACTGAAATAGCATCTTCAGGATCCCTCGGTGCAGTTCTCAGCTCTGTCCTTCTTAAGACCTAAACCCCTCCAGTCTCAATCAATGTTGGTTGAGGTACGATGACGTAGTCAGACATTGACGTATTGCGGAACATATTTACCTGACGGAGAAACTGTGCTGTCTAGAGCAATCTTTTCCACTGAAAGTATATCAGTGGTTCGAAGTGAGCTGGTTTGATCATACCTCATGTTTGTTTTAATATCTTTAAATGTGGAATACTCCCTTAAATGCTACGCTGCCGATATCTGTACTATATATGATGCACTCCCATGGACATTTCGTAGTGATTGACACCATCTGTTGATCAGGAACGAAACACCCATTAAACTTAGATAGCTTCAGCAACCAACAACACGCTGGTTTTTCCTCCGAAGCTTTATCGATCCCAATTGTTAGGAGGGGATGGGGGTGGGAGTGGGGGTGGAGATGGAGATCAGACCGCCCTCGTCGAGCGAGGATGTACTAAGAATGGCGCCGCATGACGAGGGCTAATGCTCTTAAGCACAGCACAATCGGTCTTCCTTAATGTCATACGCATTCATATGTGTCCGCAATTGTCACAAGATCACCGCCGTGCAGACTGCATGGTCAAATGCTTGGAGTATTAGGTCATACCCATCAAAAATAACATGCCTAACTGGATGTTCTGCATCTACATACTGTAACCATTTCATACAAATAACCGTCCACATTCGTCAGCTAACCTGCGATTTTAAATGAGCATTGCAAAACGCTCCAGGGACGTTCCAGACGCATGATGTAGATGTCTGCAAAGCACTGCTGGTCCGCGAAACCAAAGCAGCTTGGACCCGAGACCAGGCCTTGGCGCATCAAATGTGTGGAGTTGGCTGGTCAGGAAGTTGTGTCTCTTGTCGGTGCCACGTGCTTGTTATCAGCGAGCGCGCACGATTCTGCGAAGTAGAGCTGTTTGCCTCATAACACGCACCCCTCCGTTATCCCTTTCTGCGCCCCGTCCTTTACCGCTCAAAGGTCAAAGATCAAAGGGTCCACCGTCGCCCGCCACCCTCGCGTAATCCCCTCCCCGGCCCAGCGCGTCCGGCTGGGGACCGCGTGCGATGAGCCGACCTGAGCGCCGACGTCTGGCGGAACTAGTGGGCGGTCATTTCGACGAACAGTCCCTGGATTTCTGCCTGCGCCACGGAACTTCCGTCACAACGGCTCACACCGGTGCGTTTGTTCACGTATGACGCATGTAAATGTGGTTCGGAACTACTCAGGCCGCCCTGAGACTGCGTCAGAGCTGCCATATTTGAGCACGCAGGCCCGCAACATGAACACTTAAAAAGCCCATATGGCTTATCGCAGGCGTTGCTGGCTATATTGCAGGCATTGCGGGTATTTCGCTTTCGAACTTCTTCTTTCAGTGTTTTTTTAACCAGAAATTTATACTACCTAGCTAGCAATAATTAAAATGCTGATGGAAACAGAAATTATTCGCGTGCACAAAAGTAATACAACACGGAAGCACCATTCATTATCGAGGTCTCAAGTTATGCAATACATGCCATTCCATGAAAATATAATTCATGGCATTTTACAATTCATGGCTGTAGGTTCGAGAGAAGAATACTCCTTCATTTACGTACGATTGCTTAGCCATGTCTTTGCCATTGCCATGTCTTTGAGAGGATGAAATCTCAAGAAAACAGCAAGTACCACTCTGAAATAACCTGACATTAATGGCAGATTCTGCCTCGGGTGTAGTTTCCTGTTCAGTTAATGGGCTCCAGCTCCAGCCCGGAACAACAGAGAAATCTAGTCATTTATTCCTGTGCAGCCCACCCCAGGACACTCCGCAAAACTACACTCATGGATTTTGCACACCGGTTGTGAAATAAATCATAGGTCACAGAAAAACACAGGTCACATGCAAACTCATAATGTTTTTTTAGGCACATCTGAAGGATGTATCTATATAGGGCATGGATTGAATTGAAAGCATGACCTTGCCTTGAATTCCAAAACATGTCTGTTAAATCAAAGACCGCAAACCAATCCAATTTTCTGCAGCTCAGACCTTATCTGCAAATTATGTAATTTTGCACATAGCAATACCTTTGGCCTTATGCATACATTGATTTGGTATTTGGCCAAGAAGAAGCCTACAGAAGTACGCCGACTACCAAACCGTCTCAGCGGTCCCAGCCAAGTCTCAAAATCGAACACATCGAAGGACAAAATCGATTCAAGAGGGCTGGCAAAGGTAGCCTTGGTCGTCAGCTGCCAAGGCGACTTGAACAGCTGACGACAACATCAACTCGGATGCACAGATGGCCTTTACGTAGCGTACGGACGAACTCGCATTTGCAAGTTAAGTCTGAATGGATCATCAGCTGTCCACGGACAAGAAATGATGTGATTTATGGCGCACTCGTCTTTCACCGAATATTACGCCTACCTTCTGCTACTTGCCATGTAACATGACAATGCCTAGGCTGGTCGGCATACTGTAAGACCCGCATTAAAGACATTTGGAGCCTATATCCAGCACTAAAAGAAAAAAAGTTTTTAACTCTACGATTCATTACTGGACGCAGGCGTATTCAGTTATCATTGAGATACCCACCATGTCTGCGGAATTGGCAATGCTGTTATTTTAGCGACTGTTGGCCGCGGACAATGACGTTTTTGGTATTCCTTTCATGACGTATGCTAGTGCACAGTATATAGGCCAAGGTTTCCTTGTGAAATCGACAACTTAATTAGCTCAAGAAACCTCTTACCTTTTGGGTTTTGAGTGGCCAATTTTTGTCTATAAAGTATATCTTCATGTATGCGTATACTGAACTAAAGAGTTATCATATGAATCAAGGTAAAAGTAAATTCAGTCTTTGTTTTTTATTTCTGCATTCCGATGCGGGTTGCAGTTGCTTGGTTTCTTTCCTTCCAATACATAGATTGTTTACTAATTTTGGAAAGCCCCCTGAAGCACCAAGAGGATTTTGTTAACCGTTTAACGAAGAGGATTTTATATCTGGGACCAAGGGATCGCATATCTTGGTTCTTTAGCAGTCTCTTCAGAAAAGGAAAAGATCCTCCAATTAAGATATTTCGGCAGGTTCGCCGATTGTTGATTTATTTTTTAAAAAAACAGGTGAAGAAATACAGTTTTGTAGGTTCGTAGATTCTTGTAGTGACCCTTATGCTACAAGGCAAGTATGTGTACCTGGAATTAAAATAAGGTGTCTTGATGTTATCCATGCCAAAAACAGAGCAGGATGGACGAATGTGTTTGTAGGTTTCGCACAGCTTCTTTTTTAGCACTAACAATGTCATAAGGTATGGTACGTGTACTTAGCATGAAAAATAGGGCTGGCGTGCCAATGCAGGGTTTTTTGGGGTGCACTTGCCTAGCGGGGTGGGGTGGGAGTCCCCTAATCTTCATAAATTTACTCCTACACTTTGTATAAACCAGCATTGATTGAAAGCGTTGAATTTTATTCATTTTAAGATTTGGAGCTATGACCCACTTTGAATAGAATGTTGGAGAGCCAACACATGCAATCCCTTGGTCCCTCGGTGGTGTAAATCCTCTATGTCCAAGAGAATATCTTCCTGGACCTTCAAAAGGCTCCTTAAAAGGAACCAATAACCTTTACCTTCAATGACAACAAATCAAACAACTCCAACCAGCATGAGCATGCAAAAAAGGACTGAGGTTGCATTTATCTGGGCTCATTTATCTGGACCACAGGCCCAGATATATACATATGTAGGCATTCCTTACGTATACAAAGTGTGGCCGTCCAAAACCCAAAGAAAGTAAGAACTTCAAACAATGTTGGCAATTGCACGACGAAACACTAACATATACAATGCGAAACAGGAAAGCCCCATACATGAACACATGTCATGGAAAGAAGATTCAGAGCATTGGTCGTGGCCACCAGGCACCACAACACAATGTCCAGCTCCATAGATAGCAGCGAGAACATGAATAATGGCTGGTTTTGCTTACCGGCGTCTAGGCACGACGGTTGGAGTTGTATTACATAACTGTTCTATTACCCCTGGATTTCAACTCCACGTGCCTTAAATACGAGTGCACATATAATGGCTTATGCCCACTGGCCTCGGTATCCGTCCTGCCTCATGGAAAATGACAGGAAGTAACCGTAAAAAATATATCTGGTTCAAAAAATGGGTGCGCCATAGATGATCCCAATCCCAAGTCTGAACAATGACTTCTCAATTTGAACTCATACTAAAAAATCGTATGAGATTGATAATTCACGGTACGCTTTTTCGCACGCAACACTTCCAGGTTGCATGTTTATGTTTGTGCATGAGTGCGGCCAACGCTGAGAGCGTTGATGAAGTGCGAAATAACACTTTTAGACCATCTTTCATGACTAATGTATCGATCCCCTCACATCACTGCAGAAGTGGTAAATATACCGGATAAAAATGTTCCTTCCTCTTATTAAATGCCTTTTTATCTCAAGCATCTCGCAACGAGCTGTATTTAATGCCAGTCGTCGGGCAAACGAGGCATGAACAAAGCGGTTCCATGGACTCACGAGGGTCTATTTAAATCATAATGCATCTCATGTTTCATCCCGTTTGTGTGTAGTAAAAGAAGCAGTATATACACTTTTTCCCAAAAATGTTATATTTCAACCCCGACAAGTAACGAGTGACGGAAACATCGCGACCTTGAACTTAAAGTACCTTCAACCAGTACCGGCCTATCATTGGGTGAGTGCTAAGGCCGCGGCTCTGCAGAATCATGGCAATCTGACTGACTAGAAGCTGACTAGACTGCAAAACTAGTGAAACGATTGTTAGCAAATAGGCATATGGAATAAACCGCAGCCGAAGCCCACGTCACCTAAAGCCAAACAAGGAACTTAATTTCGGTATTGTTATCCTGAAACGATGATGCGAGCATTTGCCTTGGCTAATGGTCTGTTCGCCAGGGCGTGGTTTTCACGCGCGCTTAACGCCCGTCAAAAGCAGGTGACATCATGAAAAGGTGCCGTGATGTATATATATATATATATATATATATATATATATATATATATATATATATATATATCTGTGTGTGTGTATTTGTATAAATATTCATATATAAACATATTAATAGTACGTGCCGTGTTGTGTAAGCGATGCCAACATTGGGGTTCAAAGGGGCTTGCTGGTAGCGATATAAGTCATGTTAATGTCCGTCAAATCATCTGGAATATTCAGGCATGCAAGAAAGTTAGCATTCATGAACTACAGCTAATCGTCGAAAACCATAATAGCACTTGAGTTTCATGCTAGGTGTTCTAGCTTGCAACCTAAATTAATTCTCGAAAAGAATGCTCAACAAGACCAAATGAGGACAGAGGAGAAGACAGCATCCCGAGCATCATCATCAGCATTAGCATATCCCGATGCAGCGACAATAGGTATCGAGAGATATGGCGCAATCAGCGAAATTATGATGCATTGTGAGTACTCGGACGCGAAGTGCACTATGGACGTTGCGAACAGACCGTTACAATACATATTAGAGGGGAAGTAATTTTGCCATTACGTAAAAGCACAGATGCGAGGTTCTGCACCGTATTCAGCTCGTCCCCGACGTGCATTGACCGACCGGCTAAGCGCCGTAGACTCCCACGTGAGGGGCCGGGTTCGAATCCCGGTTGCGTCATGGTCGCAAGGCGGTATGGCCAGTGCAGCTGTTTACGCTTGGGTGTGAAGAGGTGCGTCACGGTACTAGAAAAGTTGATGTGTGAAGAATCAGGCCCTGACCGGAGCCAGAGTGGAAACGGCATTAAAAAAGCTGCATTTTGGCGTCAAACACATCATAAGTCACAACTGCTTTAGATCAGGAGATCTGGGGATTGAACTATCGGCGTATGCAACTTTAACTAACCCATGTTTTCTAGTGTTGGATGACATTGGCAATGGTTTTTGGGTGCCGGTAGTGGAGTGGTTAAAGCGTCTGCGTTAACCACTACGCGTCTGGGAAACCAGATGCACGGGGTTCGATTCCCCGCGGTACCCGCCCTTCTTGCCAGGGTGAGAGGCAGGCGACGCCATATAGCCTCAGCAGCTGAGTGCGTGGTAAAGCTCCAATGACACACACACACACACACACACACACACACACACACACACACACACACACACACACACACACACACACACACACACAACACACACACACACACACACACACACACACACACACACACACCACACACACACACACACACACACACACACACACACACACACACACACACACACACACACACACACACACACACACACACACACGCACACGCACACGCACACGTACACGTACACGCGCACGCGCACGCGCACACGTACGCACGCACGCACGCACGCACGCACGCACGCAATGATTATTGTTACGTCGATTACGTGTCCGAGCCGGCTCCAGTTTTGGTCCCAGGCGGTGTTTCTGGTTAGCACAGGTCATCCGGCCGCGGCGGCCGCTGCCTGCTCGTGCCACCGCCCCATGCACCCGTGACGCCACCCTGGCCCAGCCGTGACACGGCCGGCGCCGCCTCAGATTTGTATCGGGGACTGCGTGCCGTCGCGCCAGGCGTTCGACTCGCTGCTGCGCTATATCTACTACGGCGAGACGAGCATGCCGCCCGAGGACGCTCTCTATCTCTTCTCGGCGCCCTGCTTCTACGGCTTCACCAACAACCGGCTACAGGTGAGAAGGAGTGAGCGACAGTGGGCTGGGCGGGGGCCAGAGCGGGGGTCAGGTTAAGGGCGGGAGCGGGAATGGGGGGGGGAGGGGGGACCAGTGCTAGCGCCAAGGCCATGACCAGGGCGAGGGTGAGAGATTCTGCGTGACGGACGCTTACGGATGGAAGAAAAATCGAGGGGCATGACCTAGTTGAATGGGGGGGGGGGGGGAGGAGGAGGAAGGCTTTGATGCCGGTAACGGGATTTGTCTAGTTACACATTTAGTTATGCTTGATTATCGACACGATCCTTTGAGCGATGTAGCGTGCCCACGATACGTAAATTACTGAGGAGTATTGTGTCCAACCAAAGGTAAACTTGTTTATATGGTCCGATGAAGCAATTGTGAGAGCGTGAAATGTTGTTAGCTCCAGCAAGACAGAGCAACGGAAATATCATCATCTCTTGCACTGACTCATTCAGCTGATGGTGCTGTATCGCTGATGGCAAGAGTAAAGCCACCATTCCAGCCTCCCTACCTGGCATTATCCAGCCATGTGTTGGTCCCAGGGAAGGTCCCGGATCACGGCGGATTCTTCTACAAAACAGGACGAAGATCCGAGATCCAAAAGGACTCTTTGCTGCATGATCATGTGCGGCGACGCGCTCTAAAACTCCCAAAGGATTAGTCGATAACATTCTAAAAAGGTCAAATTTTTACATATCATTCGATAAGATCTTACGGCAGATCGCAGGTTCAATTTTTTGGTAACATTTCAAAATGAATAAGGGATCCATCCGTGGATTCCAGATCCTAATCCATGGCACACAATTCACCCCGACAGGCATGACAGACACTAGATGGGTACAAAAATTAACAGCTAAATCAAGGAAAATGGGGGAGGCTGCATGCACACAAAGAGGCTAGCGAAGCAAATGGTGAATGAATGATGAAGATTATATGAAAGATATGAATGAGTGATAAATGCAAGCAAATGATAAATCGCTTGATCCTTTACTATGCAATTCAAAATATCCGTCTAGAGAAAGCATTAAGGCTGTCTTTTAGAATCAGTGATCATCATGCGTATGTGCAATATCAACTCTTCTATTATCTTGATGCACTATTCTAAAAGCGGATTTCATGACGTATTTAATTCCATGCGTGCCGCGTTACGAATGGGCATATTGCATCGTAAGCTAATGATAGAGCTCAACCTAAAGTAAACAAAAGCCGTTCTAACTAGATGAGCCCACGGAGTGACCTAGTAGGCAACAAATAATGGTAAAGTTGCATTTTAGGTTTGCTACGGTGAAAATGTTATGTGTTTTGGTTACCTTTCACTAGCACCATTCTAGTTTTGTCCTCAGGATGCACATGACGTCTCCGTTATGATTGTCAGTTGAGACATTACTTGACTGCCGCCAAGCTAAAATGATGTACTCTGCTGTACTACCTGGCGAATGGATCTTTATCTCACGCAACCCTGATTTTATTTTCTCGGCAGAATGGGCAGATTGACGTGCATTCTAAGCAAAACTCGCAAACTTTTCAGGCTCTCAAAACAATTACCATGTGAACGTTATGGTCTGAGAAACTATCCAACATCCAAATCCTTGCCAACAATGCCCGCTAGTGTTTGTGTGCAACTCTGTGGTTGTGTTTTGCCTGCGGTATTATGAGATTCCGGCCTAAAATCTTGCCCCCCCCCCCCCCCCCCTGTGGTGTGGCCCCCTTATTTTCACGCGCCTGTAATGGCTTGCAAAGATGGACACCCCGAAATAACTTTCCCAAATCCTATTGGCGAGACCATCGGCAGGGAACCCAGCAAGTAGTCCCGATATGCACAATACACTTTTTGTCCTACACATGAAACATTTTCTAGCTGCGCTTATCCAGGATTGCTTATACGAATCGCGAAACAACAAAAATCCTCTGAGCGTGCGGGTGGTGGCTGAAGTTCAGCTTCAAGGCCAGAAATATTGCTCAGTGTGCTATGATGGTACATGACGGTACCACCATCGTAGTGTTGCCCATGACATTCATGCAGGGTGCAACACGAGACGCGGGGACACCACGAGCGTCAACCCCGCCTTAACGCATTGTCCATACAAATTCGTCTACCTTTTCTTGGGCTTGTCTGGACATGCCAGTTCAACAACTGATGTAACTCGACCCGTGTCTGCTTTGCCACCGCCCGTACCTCTTGTCCTTCCGGCCGAAGGGGAGGTTTGATGGGGGAGAGGGGTGACCCGGGCTGGCGTTGCCCCCTCCCCGCCACCCACCCTCCGGCCAGAGGGGAGGTTGGGTAGAGGGGAGACACACCCGGGCCTGCGCTGTCCCTTCCCCGCCACCCATCGTCCCCTCCGGCCAGAGCGGAGGTGGGGTGAGGGGGAAGAGGGACTGCTGACCCCGCCACGCAGAATACCGCCGGGACGGACGCGGCCACGGATTGACGGCCATTTCCGGTTCCGTTGCGGTCCGTCCCATGCCGTGATGTCCATGAAGTTGGCCATTTATTCAGCGATTTATTCCGCGACGAATTTTGATTCATTTGAACACAAGTCAGACGGTTAACTATGACGCAAGAACACAGAACATGACATTTATTTTGCAACATCACGTGACCTTCAAAGTCAAACGCAAGGCAAAGAACGTGAAATTCAATTGATCGTGAGAATTTTCACTCAAAAGGAACCAGCATCCATAGAAACTCCTGAAAATTCGAGTTCCTATTTCAAGGACAAATTGATTGTATGATCCCAAAATTATCGGTTGATTTCAACATTCCAAGAATCAGAATATTTATCATGGAAAGAACTGCGTCCGTGAAAAAATCCTGATCACTCATGCCACCCTTCAAGGTCAAATTCGGGCTAAAATGCTGAAACTCCATGGCACCAAAATGCATTACCAGCAGATTTCGAATTTTTAAATACCAGAATAACCACTAGCGGATGACCTAGCGTCTGGCAAAAAGTCCTGACCCCTCAAGATCACGCTTTAATGCCAAATTCCGGATGAATTGACGGCAAACTCCATAAAACCCAGAAAAACGACTGCATTCGATTTTTGTAACAGAAAATTGATTTCAGTTTTTAAGTATCAGAAAAACCATTAGCGCATGGATTCGTGGATTTAGAAAAGTTTTTACTTCTCACGGCTACCTTTCAAGGTAAATTGCGACTCAGAGAACGGGGAATTATTCCGCTTGATCAGTAATCGTGCATCCGGGGATGCGTCCCTGCCTGCTCGTGTTCAGGGACCGCTGCATTCTTGTCATGGGTGTGACGCAACAGGTGTCATTTCCAGGCCTTCTGCAAGCAAAACCTGGAGATGAACGTGACGTCCGACAACGTGATCCAGATCCTCGAGGCCGCTGATCGCATCCAGGCGCTAGACATGAAGAAATACGCGCTCAATCTGATCGTGCAGCGCTTCAACAAGGTGAAGTGGCGGGCCAGACGGACCCGGCTGCCGTCGGTGCTGCGGTCCGAGGTGCTGGAGGACGTGGGCGGTCCTGACCTAACCTGTACAAACTGTCCGACTTATCGATGGTCACTTGATTATCCTGATGATGCAGTGGAGATCCTCGTGACCTGAGCTGCGGGTCCCTGTCAGCGACTGAGAGGGATGTTAGTGACTAAACGTAACTCAACTCGTGCCGCGCTTTCGTGACGGTTCGGTTGTGCGAGACGATGCCTTGCAGGCTTTTTGGAAGCTTATTTCCGATGACTTCGGTGGGTGGCTGCAGCCAAAAGCTCTGCTTGTTGCGCGTCATCTGAACACATCACACGAAATGGTCCATGCAGTTCACCAACTCTGTTTTCTGCTGACCTTTTTGCCAGATAAGAGAAGGGAGGGGTTGACATGTCGTGCAATGGTACAATTCGCTTGTCCTCGTCCAGACAGACGCTTTTTGATCAGTTACCGGCTGGTCCCACCATCTTTTTTTAGTCACATGCTTTTCAACGCATGCTTGAAAAAGTAATACACGCACGCTTACACATGACACGTTTCAGTCATGAACCGCCGTTGTCGGCACCGATCTGCCACAGCTAACCGCGAGGGGCGGCTAACCGTGGGTGCGGCTTAAGGCAGCCGCTGAAAAAGGGAAAAATCATAGGCTCGTTGCAGACCACAGCCCATGCGTCACGAACCCCCCAAAAATGGAACATTCGCACTCATACGCATATTTTGCAATCGTATTTTTATTTTATAATTGTACATATTCGTACTTAGATAAACATTTGTTATATACAACGTAGCGCTATGTATTTTGAAATTACTATTTTATGCTCTTCTTATAAATCACCTGTAATATCACCTATTGGGCGTCCGAACATCTTGCCATCTATGTTCAAATTTGTCCAGTGTCCCAGCCATTTTGGCCGAGATTTGCTTCACCTGCCCATTCTCGATTAATTTTAGCCGTCTTGGCATGGAGCCTATTCCTTCGATATCATATATTTGCTGATCGGGACACGCAGGTTGACTAACGCTCTGTTATTCCCGCAAAGTAAGACATCATTGGCTCTAATAACCGGCCATTGACCGAACAAGTCAATATCTCGAATGCAATAGTGTGCTCCAAGCACTTTTCACTATAGCACACGCCCGGAACTTGTGCAAACCAGATTAGTTGTGTGCATTGCGCTTGGGGCATACGGCCGAATTTGCTAACCCAGTTGTTCGTAAGAGAATATTAGTAGCATGCGTCCCATTGACAGTTTTGAAAGTGAACGATCTGTATATACCATGATGTTGCATTCATCATATGGCAGTACACTTCCAACCAGCAAATATCATGGAGAAGGCTCTCCCTTTGGGTCTCCCATAAATGTTATACCTCTTTTTTAGCCGTATTAAGAATTCAGATATATATGCCTCACCCTTGTCTCTCCTGCCAGATTGAATTTCACAACTGGGTGTATTACGGGCTGTGGTTTTCTTGTTTTTGGCCTTTTCCCAGGAAGCCGGAAGAATACTGATGACCCCGAAGTAATTTAGATACGTCTCTTGAGTTCGAAACGTAGTGAAAAATTCATCAAATATCCTCAGTGAGCCATCTCTCTAAGTAAATCATTAAAGTGTCGCACTCCCTTACTGTGCCGCCTCCACAGCCCAGTGCACACAAATTTACTTTTATCAGAAACCATTGAGAGCGAGGCCCTAAATCACCTTTAATATTTTGACCCCTAATTGATTAGCGCCAGTGATGTAATAAGCTCCTTCCAGAAAGGATTTGATGGGGACTCAGCAACCATCCTGAGAGGGCGTGAATTCATTTCCCATGTGCAAAATCTATCGTTCCATTTCGGCTACGAGCTGCTCTCCCCATTTTGCCTCGGAGGTGGCATGTCGCCTTGTCCGTGGAAGCTTCAAAGCGACAATGTGAGTTTTTACATATGTCATAACCATACCACATTGAGCCGTAAGTTTTTTCACTGTTTTCCGCTTTATTTTGTCATGTTCACCTCTTCACATAACTTGAAACAACATTGCATTCAAATCCTTGAGGAAATCCAGAAAGGACAAGGGGAGTGACGTAAACAAATATGTGATCTTAGACAACAGCAGCGATTTAAGGACGGTAATGCGGCCTTTCCAAGCTTAGTATCTCCGGTTAGAGGCCCTCGCCGCACGCTTTATGGCCGTTAACTTCAGACTGTGGTTTTCTGCGCACAAATCATGTATTTCATTCCCAAAAGCAAAACCGAGAACTTTCATTTTTCAGACCCATATCAGCTGCGGCCCAGGGCATACAGGTGTTATATGTTCTGTGGCATGCCTTATTCGCGTGACTTGCGTCCTTTGCACATTTGGTGTTAATCCAGAGAACTAGGCAAGGGCCCCAACTCGTCAAATCAGACGTGCATATTGTTGGCACCGCCCTATGGTAGGCACGGGGCGTCGTCTGCAAATAATAAAATTTTGTAGTCCTCGTCCTCAATGCGCATGCCTCTGACATTGTCATTTCTGTTAACCGTTTCAGCCAGACATTCTATTGCCTGAAGAAACCCGTAACAACTCAACTAGTCCCCCTGCCGGCAAGAATGCTCTAAACGAATTTTATTGGACAAATGTCCGGTGTGTAGTATTCCATAAGATACATGAACATGCCTATCGAGTACTCAACCACCTTACTCAAGAGATCGGAAATCCTCGTTTCGCTAGATTCTCGCCCCTACCATCTTAGCCGAGCCAAACAATACCGCCGTTCTGGCAGTCGTAAACATTGGTGTCCGATTTCGAGTCCGTCATGACTTGGAACCTAAATATCGCGCCAATGCCCCACGTTTCCCATCGCCAGAGAAGTTCTAAAGCACGGATGCAATGCCATTGATGCTCGTTTCTCCATCGTGCGCCTAATGCGGAAGGTTAGCAGGAGTTTCGTAAATGCTCTCGTAATAACTGCCCAATGACCCCTCCATGCCATCGCGCGCGGCACGTACCGTGGACACCAATTCCACAGCACCTTCGTAAACCAAGTCAGTGGTAAGCTTATACGAGCTTATTCGGTACTTGAGATTGTTGCCTCTCCCGATAGGTGGCGCGGCTGCCGCGAATGCGCGCGCTCAGCCGGGAGCTGCTGCTGGAGATTCTGGACGCTCTAGCCGAGGAGATGCCGGAAGGCCGGCTTTGCCAAGATCTGTCGGGTGCCAGTATCTCAAGCGACGGCTAGATGGGTGCCACGAGAGAGCGCCGCTGGCGCCTATGGCGGACCTGCCGGGGACCAGCGTTACCGATCGTGAGCACCAGAGGCTCTCCCACCGCGCCACCAGCGCCCTCAGCCAGCAGGTATTCAGATGGCGAGCGTCGCCAGTAATCGGGTGGGACCTGCCCCCAGCGTCAGATTATGGGCCGCCGCCGGCCGAGCACCGTCCGCCGGCTGCTGCGCCAACAGCCTCAGGAGGAGAGAGGGTGCCGGCGCCGTTACCGTGTGTGCCCGCGCCGCCGGGTGGAGGAGGGCGAAACCATGCGACAGCCGCCGCGTCCACACTGAATGCCAGTAATGATTGTGTTTCATCGTGCTGCTTCAGTATGCTGTGTTGCCATGTGGCCAGTGCGACGAATCGTTGTGTAATCAAATACTGCGTGCCAATCGTGGCAATTGGGATGCTGGCGAGGAGCTGTTCTTGTCACGCATTTCGATTGCTGTATTACTCGCCGAACGGCTGTGAGAGTCAAACTCATGCTCTCGCATGTCAGCTGTGGTAGGATACCAAAGTCATATGATGTTGGGTTTAAACCAAGAACCATGCCGACGTGGGGACGGTGTGGATCTAGTTGAGATATGTGATTTTGACTGATACACTGGTTAAATGAGGTTATGGACTGGGCTAGGCTGGGCAAACCAGTATAGTGTTGGTGCTTTACGATAAAATTGCTTGAAAGAAAATGACAGTGAAGCAGAGAATGTTATGTTCATAGATATTTGATATAAGTGCTAAAAGGTACCGTTTTCACCAGGCCGACATTCAAAATTGCACGCATCGTTTGTGAAACTCGAGATCAACTTTAGTGACGAACAGACGTTTTTGGCCACCACCATGGCTAGCGTTACAAGCGGCAAGAATGGAAAGAAACGTGATCGAGCTAAATGTCAAAGACGTCATGTACGCAGCAACTGTTGGCGTGAATTGTTTAAAGCAAAATGTTGTGACAGGACGCATTGCTTGCTGGACGTAGCCCCTGTAAAGTTTTTATAATCACACATCCCTACGTTGTTTGGATATCACTTCAAGCACGCTCTGGAGGACCTGCTAAACAAGCACGCCGTGAAAACAAGTCGGAATTGTTCTTCCCTGCCGTCTTGGCTTTCAGTGACGTCAATGGTAGGTTGAATGTACGGTAAATCGGGGAAATGCTCGTTCTCGGCCGACAGTGAATTCGCTGTTGTCGCTAGGTCAAGGCGTCGGAAATAGCCCGGAACTATGCGCACAAGGAAGAAATGCAAGGTCTGGTCAAGGCAAGGATCTGACTTGCCGAAACGGGCAACGTGCAGAGGTTCCCCCATTGAAGTCGACGGGTATAGTGAATGGTTGCGGTGATATGTAGGGGTCAGGCCACCAATCATCTAGTCCCGCTTACGTAAGTGGGCATTGTTATTCAATGTCATGGTAATACGTTGTTGTAAGATTTAGCAATGTGATTGATTGCCCCTCCCCCTCCCGGCCCATCCCGGCTCCTCTGCGCCTATCCTGTTATCTTGCTTTCTTTTGTAGCTATAATCGATGACTGTCGCAAGGCTCCTGCTGATCTCGTATGTGATATTTTATTTTTATTTCGGGCTTAAGTGTTCAATGTTTTTTTGGGATCAGAATATCAGCCAATGACTGGCTTGAATGCCGTCATATTTTCATATGCCGCAGACGCCTACTCTGCTCTGTCGTGTCGTGTAAATGTTATGATGTACGTGCAAATATATCTATAGTTCGTTGCATGCTCGCATACCTCGCACACCATATGTCAACAACTGCACTCGCGCGATCATGAGCATACTTCTTCACTCACGAGCCTACACACACACACGCGCGTACGCCCGCCCGCCCGCACGCACAATGCCCATATGAAACCACAAATACTCACGCACATTGACATGCTTCAATGACAAATGTTGTATTGTACAGTAAAACGAAACATGGGGTGATGACATTGCAACAGAACATTAATGTTAGAAAGTATACATGGACAAGAGACCATTTGCAGGTCTGCGCTGATTTGAAACGATATGTTTCACACTTGAAAGCATTGGGACAAACAGCAGATGTGTTGGAAATAGCTCACTTCCAACGAATGGTATGCTTTAAGTTCAAAAGACCGTTCCAGACGACACGATTATTTATTTAGTAAATATGCTCCTCGCAACGTCATGTGCTACGTCATGCGATGTTTTGTGACATTACAGCTACTGCTAGACTGCCGCCACAACATTGTCACCGTAGCGAACGGGCTGACTGTTTTCTAGTATTTCAACTCGTAGAAAGGTGGCTTACTTATTAATGCCTGTGAACTAAACCAATGATAGTTTAAGCGCGTGTTCTGGACCCTTTTCGTGCTGTTGCATATTTGTGCCGAAAGGCACAAATATCTCTCAAAACCTAAAACGCGTAGTTTGTGTGCTTCACGTCCTTGAAATGCGCCGATTATTTCGTGCAGACTATTTGAAGGCTATTCAGGCATGCGTGATGTGATACAAACATCATTCAACCGCGACGTTTTGCGACTGCTGACATTTTAGTAGACGCCTGCAAAGCGGCGTCTTACCCTAAGGTGTGGGTAAAGTTTGCATTATTACGCGTGCTTCAGACGCACATTGGAAGGAGTGCTCCATATTTATGTGGAATTTTGAAGGTACAAGGCACGATGACGTAATAGCCATATTGAAGACCTTTCGATGCTGCTCACAATTATGTTCTTCTTAAGACTGAAGGCCCTCTCATTTCTAAGCTACACGCCCGCGAAAACGCGGAAAGAATTTCAGTCACCTTGGCGCTAATGACGTTACAATAACCTCATTCAAATCATGCCATTCCATAAGCCATGCGGCGATCACGTCCAAGAAATATGACTGTCAACAAGTTCATATCTGGCGTTCGTGGGCGCAGTTTCCAAATATAGCGGCCGTCCATTGGCTGTCAATCAAAATTTTGCAAGGTGTGACGACTTAATCAAACCATGATGCACTGCGGAGAATACTTACTGAATAAGGAATTGTGGTATCTAGAGCAGTTGAGCAGTTTCTGCATTAAATAATATACCAATCATAGTAAGTGAACTTGTTTCATCACATCTGATGTTTGCTTCAATAACTTCAAACACTCCCTTTGAGCCTTATTTACAGAGGCGACTCTTCGCGTGGCGCAGCGATGACGGCCCCCTCTGGTGAAGATTACCGCAACACCTAGTGTTCGTAACCATTAATGCTTTATAACGCATTATATTCGATACACCTAACTACCTGAAAAACTAATGTGTCATAACGCCTGACGTTCGTAGTGCCTAGCGCATCACAAAGCCTTATGTTCATAACCGCTAGTACATAACAGCACCTAATGTCACTACACCACCTGCATCCTAAGACCTAGTGCATCAAATTACCTAATGTTTCACAACTCCTAATGTATCGCAACTCCTAATATATCACAACGCCTGATGTACCAGAATACCTAGTGTATCGTAACCACGAATGTTAAATGACGCGTAGCGTATCGTAATCCCTAATGTTCGTAACTTGTAATGCATCGCAACACCTAATACATCATAACACGTAATGTATCACAACACCTAGCGTATCATAACCCCTAATGTATTGTAACACTTATACCAGTTGATGACGCAGGCGACGGCCAGAGATTTTCGACCTTATCCGCTGGCCGGCCGCCCGGGTGGCAATGCGACGGCAAGCTGCACCCGAGCAGGGGCGGTATCTCGTCAATGAAGAGACGCTGCGTTGAGCAAACGACAGTGCCAATGGAAACATCTGAATGGGTGGGGGGTGGGGGGGGGGGGGGGGGTGGGGGTGGGCGTGGCAGAATGAAATAAGACTGACCGACCAACCGGCACAAGGCCGACCGAAAAGGCACGAACGTGGCACGGATGCACGTATGTGTACTATGGCAACATGTGCCGACCTCTTTGTCGTTTTGCTGATTGAACATGCCATTGTACAGGCGGTCTGGGTGGCTGGCTGTCACCCGATCGGTTATTGCCCAAACCTAACGATGGACCTCCCGGCAAGTTAGGTGCAAGACCGTCCAAACTGTTACAAACATAGCATGTGTGCGTGTATGTGTTAAGGCCATAGCCGTAACGTCCGTGTCATCGCTTTCGGGTCAGAAATCACGCATGATGAGACCGCGACCTCGGCAGGATTACTCCAAGTCCAGTAATGTGCCTCCCTACAGACTCGATGCATCACCGGCCCAACGCGCACAAACGCGGCTGATGTGCACGCATGGGAAATGAAAGACATGCGTCGATCATTCTATCGCTTTTGGCATTGAAATGATCAAGTTTCCATTTTAAACGTGCTTTGAGTGTCGGGCAGTCGCGCGGTCGATAATCGCCCCGAAACAATGAACCTCCCGGCAAGTAAGGGGCACGACCATCCGAATTGGTACAAATGTAGCACGTGTGCATGCACGTGAAAATGTGAGAGCTGTACCGACTTTCTCATTGCTTCCGGGTTCGAAATCACGCACCATGAGTCCACAGCTTCGGTTTGAATTTCCAAGTCCAGTGACGCACCTTCCTGCGGGCTAGACGCAAGGCTGGCCAGATCGGCACAAGCGTGGCACGTGTGCACGTATGTGCGATATGGGTGCATGGGTTGACCATTTCATCGCTTTCGGGCATGAAATTGACAGGCTTTCTCTTTAGCGAAAACTTGTCTGGATTGTTTGTCACCTTTGTTTAAATAAAGGTGACAGACGGTCGCCCGACCGAGTACCGCCGTGTGCAATGGTCGAATGGTTGATTAATAAGGCTTCTTAGTGGCCGAGTGGTTGGTGCATCTGACTCACTCATCGGGAACCCATGTTCCCTAAACTCTTAAATGGCCGATGCGGTGGCCGGTGCTTCTTATGCGGTGTGACGTCGTGCGTCGCATTCTACAAACACAAAGGACAATCCCAGAACATTCCTTTAAAAGAAAATTGGATGTATATAGATAAGACAGAAGTAATAGCCCTATTCCTCGGAGAAAAAACACGAGAATAGAGATGAAGATGTGTTGATATTTCGGCACCATACCTTTATCGAAACGAACATCAGAAGTGAATACAAAATTGCCCGTCGATGATCCTACTCATTTTTCAGGGTTTTTTTGGGAACAGCGAGTCACAGTTTTCACAAGACACCAGCATTCAAGAATTAAACAAGGAGCGATTCCCAACTATTAATACGATGAAATGCGTTTTTACCTAAGAATTAGAATACTCGAAAATACGCGCATATGCAAACGCATTCAAGTAAACAGGCATCACGCATCACGCTTCATTCGAACATGCATTTTCAATTTAATTCCAACATTTTGATTTCACTTCTGCTCTTTGTTGCGATGAAGGCATGTTGCCGAAATATCAACGCATCTATATCTCCATTCTCATGGCTTTTCTGCGCGGAATAAGGCTTTTAATGCTGTATTATCTATGGGAATAATGTTCCCCGCAAATACCTTTAAAACTTACGAAAATTGTACCTCTAGATACATTGCATCTTACTGAGCATTCAGCTCAGCATATGATGGTGACGTTAACTTGCGTAATACGTCCTCATACACAGACATAACAACAGGACAACGCGTTGATCGTCATTTCAACCTAGTGCTTGCCAACGACTTGCATCTCTAATGCGACATACCATGACTCAAAAGCACGACTGAACAGTTTGCGTGAACAAATCTCTCCATTTTCACAAAAAAAGAGACTTGTTAAAAGTTTTCTATTTGCGACAGTGTCGAATGTAACGGTTTGTTGGTGCCAGGGTGATATATTTCTCCCGCTGTTGCGATGTTGACTACATCGCCTGAAACCGTCCTACAGAGCTTTTATCGAAAAGCGCTATCCCATAATACACTTTTGGTGTACGATTATCTAACGAAAGCAACAGCTATTGAGAAGGTCACTGAAACTGTACAAACCCAAAGTGGTTATGGGAGGGGGCATCTTAGTACTCGAGAACTTTTAAACGTATATTGATAATTCTTTGAACACACAGCTTAATACTGAAAAGAGACGTTATAGACCAGCCGTTATCCTTTGAGAAAGTTATGATAATACTAAGGAACACTTAGAGGAAAATGATCAGAGTATAATGGCCAAACGGTCTGTTTTCGAGCATTTATGGCTAAAAACTGGCATTTTTGTGCAAACCTCTGGCATTTTCCTCTCAAAATGGCAAAATGCTCGGGTCACATAATGAGATATTGCCACACTGATATCGAATCCCAACAGGCTTCCTGATGATGTAATGGCATACCACCCGATCACGACTGCTCATTGGTTACTTCAAAAGCATGCCCTCCACTGTTTCAGGAAAGATCACAGCGCGCACTGAACAATTTGTTAATCCATCGTAAACAGCTCATTGAAAAAATTGATAGGAAAAATGCGCTTGGTCTTTGACATCAGAACTGACATTTTTGGGAGGCAAAAGTCCCGGCAGAGTTGTTCTATCCAAGGTTCAAAATATCCATGTTAGATGGAACCGCATTAAAGTTGCACAAATCAATAAGTAACGCCATGCCCAATCAGGGCTTTCTATGTCCAGCGGTGTTTCCACCAGGAGGGACCAGCGCGCTGAGTCGCTGTGGACGGCCATAGAGCTCCCGGGGCCAGTTCGGTAGGCCGTGTTACATGCTGAAGAGCTGGGGTTTGCAAAGCATCGTTGCAGCGTTAGGTGTTGACTACGGAACCACCTTGGATTGGAGCCCCATGTA